AACTGTTCAAACACCAGCCAGCTATAACTGAAGAAACTTACTCTGACTGAGACAACTTTCATAGAATATAGGTTTATAACTCTGTATAGTACTCAAGATTTAAATACCAGCTAACTTGAATCAAGATCACACTGCCTCTTCCTATATCAGGCATGTCAAACTGCCAGCCCGCAGGCCAGATACGTCACGCCGAAACCGCGCCCAGCCCAATGCCAGAAATGAGGGTAAATCGGCAATGGGGAAAAAGTCGTGATATGTCACGTGATGTCATGTGAGGTCACGAGTTTGGCATGCCTGTCCTATATGATTATATGTTTTCTCTATGGTTATCTTCAGAGGTTCTGTTCCAGATGTAACCTCATGTTGTAATGTGATAAAAAGCTACCAGGCAATAGCAAAAAACCCTACCCAGAGAGGCACACCTAACACCTTCTTTGTTATCTTTCTAGCAGCAGACAAAAGATTTATATTTTAAATATTGATATTTTGTGTTTCTTTGAAGCTTTGTGATTCTGCTATTTTGCATATATTTTACATTTAATTATTGTTTTGATTTCAGCTTTTTTAATATTCTGATCAGTGTAAGCTATCCTAGGAAAACTCAGTAATGATGAGCAAAATACAATTTTTAATAATAAAATCTTATAAAGGAAAATAATAAAACAAGGGTACAGACTCTTATTCTTTTAAAGACTTCCACCTTGCAGTCAATAGGACCATTCTCAGTCCAAGACAGATAGAAGACACAATAACATTTCAAATATTCATAAGCTAAAGGTATCAGGACATGTTAGGAATTGCAGTGACCTGCCTCACTGGTAATGTTTTTTTTTTTAAATAAAAATTCAGTAGCATTGCAATTCTTGTTAGTTTTGTCATAAAAACTTATTTTAAAATTGACATTTGGCCTATATTTCAGTAGTGAAATATATAATTCTAAATCTGCTTAGTATAACAAAAAGATCAAACTCCTAAAACGTTTAAAAAGATTAAAGAATTACGTCTAAACTTCTGATTACTAGTTCTATTTTTTAAAAAAATATTCCTTTCAACTGATGGCACCATTCCATTTTTATGTAAGTATTATTAATAACTTTAGATGCCTACATAAGTATTCAATTTTATGCAAATTTCTTTTTAAAATAACTAATGTTAAATCAGCAGTTTTAGACCTATCCCAATTTATTTTAAAAATAAATGCCATACAAACAAGAACCAGAACTTTAAAATGTCCATGATTTTTGGAAAACTAAAGAATCTTGTGACATCTTAAAGACTTCTTTTAATACATCAAAGCAAATCCATGCAATATATATATATATATTTTTTTAAAAAAATAATTATCTTACTTTGTCTTCTTTAGATTGTCTGATTCTGGTTCTTTCACTGCAACAAAATAAGCCATTTATTCAGTTTCCATGAAGTTGCCATTTCTTCATTGATCCATGAAACTTTTATCCTTAATTTATGACAAGACTAATATCTAAACATTCTATTGTTACGAATGCCTTATGATGGTCTTAAACAGCGATGGTGAACCTATGACACATGCTATGTCATTTTTGGCACATGTGGTGTACTGTCATGTGGTCTCTTGACCTCTGGACATTGCACAGGAGGGTTTGCCTCTCACGTGGGATCTGGAGCCACCCAAAAGCATGCAAGGATGGGGCATGCTTTCCCACTCTTTTCAGAGACACAAGACAATTCTCTGAAGTTTCCAAGCCTCATGTGACCCTGAACTGCCACAGCTAGGCATTTTTTTCTGAGAGACAAATTGAAAAATATTTACAATTATTTATTTGCTTATTTATTTATTTATTTATTTATTTTATGTGCCACCGGTCTCACTATCCAAAGCAAATCTTTGTTATGAATTGTTTCTCTTTAGTCTGTATGTGACACACCAAAATTGGGCATTTTTTGAATTTTTGACACACTGGGCCCAAAGGGTTCACCACTGCTGCTCTGAAAGGTACATATATAGAATACCCTGCCCACAGTTTAAATTGCTACTTAAAAGTTCTGTGAATTTTTATAACCCATCAGTATTTATTGCATTCAGCAAACCACTTAGTAAACATATTTATTTATTTATTTAATTTAATTTATATGCCGCCCTTCTCCCAGCGGGACTCAGGGCGGCGCACAACATATTTAAAACAAAAGCATATATACAATCCCCCCCTGTAAAACCGAATTAAACCAAATTTTAAAGTTGTGTCTTCCAAATTCCTTAAAATGAACCCAGTATAAAATCCTCCCTAGGTCAGGTCCGCTTG